CTCGGCTTATATCTAATGTCCCTCGCTACAGTCACATAACTCCAGTACTACGTTCGTTACATTGGCTTCCTGTCAAATTTCGTATTGATTTTAAAATACTTCTATTTACTTTTAAAGCTATCTACGGTCACGCGCCTGGTTACTTGATCGATTTGATTGCTATTAAAGAACAGCCGCGCTATAATCTCCGTTCACCTAGCAGTCTTATCTTAAAGTATCCTGGTTTAAAACTGAAAAAGACTTTAGGGGATCGTGCTTTTTCATCTGCTGCCCCTAATTTATGGAACAATCTGCCCCTTCACATGCGTCTTGAGGACAATTTTGAACGTTTTAAATCTTTACTTAAAACGCATCTTTTTAGACTAGCTTTTGATACGTAATTTTTTAACCTACTATGTAATATATTTAGTGTTTTTATCTTTTATTTAATTTTTAGCGTTGTTTATTCTTAGCCTTAATTATTTTGCTCAGTTTAGCTTTTATTTTCTTTTAACATTTACGTGTTGTCACGCGCTTTTGATCATATTTGCTTAGAAAAGGCGCGTTATAAATTTTTAATTATTGTTATTATTATTATTATTCATTTCAGCTCGATAAAGCCCGAAAATTATTTATTTATAGCTTTAACAAAGAAAAATTAAGCCGGCATTAAACAAAGTACACTTCTTAAATGGAAAATAAATTCTCTCGGAAGGCTTAAAATACTATTTCAGAGACCCTATATTTCAAAATCTTCCGGGAGTGCATGCTCCCGGACCCCCTAGCAGTTCGTGTCTTCGGCGCCCGTGATTGCCCCCCCGCCAATAAATTTAACCTTGCCACGGCACTATTTTTTGCTGAAACGTTATTTGCATTAGTGGTGTCTGCGAGTAAGACGTTATAATGGTCCTTTATTTTTAAATGAGTGACCCGCGCCTTCTAACACATGTCCACAGGTATCTCAAGCAAGGCAGAACTCTGGCCTACGACAGGAGCCTATTAGAACGGTCTTGGCGCGAATTTAGAATACCCTAAAATTCCAAAAATAAGCCCCTCCATGTATAAGCCCCCCAAGCTCGTAACCCAAAAACCCGTTCGTTAAATCGTCCCTCCAAATATAGGCCCCTGGGGGCTTGTACTTGGAAATTGCCCTCAAATTCAAAATAAATCAAAGCAAAAACCGTACAGTAACACGAAAATTTTTGCATTTGCCAAAGAACTATTACGTGTGCTAAATGATTGCAGTCGAAATGTGTCACACTATATTGCTGTTTGCATAGTTCACTCTTAACTCTTGGCTTGGATTTCCTCGTTCCATATAGACAAAGTAAAGGCATGGCTTAGTTTCAGTAAGATGTACGTTCTCAAGGCTAGTTTCAGTAAAAACTTCCTGCAAATTACTGATAAAGTTTGCTTCCAATCATAAGCTAGCCCAATCGATTTTGAGACGTGAATGTCGCTCCCAGTATAAGCCTGGCCGGTTTTGAAACGCAAATTTCACTCCTTATATAAGCCCCTCCGAATATGGGCCCCTTCAAAAATCTGCCCCCCAAAAAAGGCTTTTGAAAAATATAAGTCCAGGGGCTAAGTTTCAAAATTTTACGGTATCGTTAAAGTCACACAAACCAGTCAGGAAAACCTACAGCCCTAAAAAAAATAACTTTTGCCTTTTAATGACGTTAAGTTTTCCTCTTTGATAGCTTATACTTCGAATGCGTTCATGGACGTGGCGGAGATTCCATTTTCGAGGGAAAAATTGCCTTAAAATGTGTCTACAAATAAACCGGTCAGTAAAAACGCCGTGACGTAGGCCTAGTATGGGGTTTGCACGCTTCGGGTTATGGAGTCCTGCCTGCGATCAAGCTCTCATGTTTGGGCGAACAAAGCGAGCCGCGAGGGGCCATCCCCCGCTTTCGCTTCTCCTCTCGCTTGCCTCCCGCGCGTCTACTTTTCACGATTATCCCCAAATGAGCTTCTTGCTCACTTGCTAATCGGTAATGTCTTAAATAAATCGCTTACATGCACTCAAAGCCGGTAATGATATTGATCTTAGAAATTTACGAGGCTATAAAATGTACAACCTGTACTTTCTATCAGCAGTTTTCATTACAAAATGCAGCAAAAAAGTCAGTTACTTAGCGAGCAGTTCAGTTCTCCACTACTCCTTGCAGTAGCCTGCGTAGCAGGTAGTTGCTTGGTATGTTTCAGTTTCGTTTCTGGTTGAGATACAGCGGCGCGAAAGATCTGAGGCCAGAGATGTGGGAGGAGGCAGGAGGTTATTCTAAAGGATAGGATAGGATAACTGCTTTATTATCGACAGAGCGCCTACAGACACATGTGTTACAAAGATAACAAAGATTTAGTGCAAAAATTACAGAGGTGTACATTTGTAGAATTTATACAACTAAACAAGGTTATATTTAACGCGTCTATCTCTTTCGCGGAAGCGATCACTTACGTATTTAGCCACAATTTTTTGCGTTTTCTCTCCTTGCTTCATACTTATCAACGTTGCAAAGGCAGAGCTTGGAGTCATAGAGTCAAGAAAAAGATTAGTTTCCTTTTTTAGCGTATTGAACAGCTCTCTCCTAGGATCCCTATAGTCTATGCAATTCATCAAAAAATGCTCCTCGTCTTCTAATCCAGATTTATATAATGGACAGATTCTTTGGTCTGGTGGTTGATAGGGTTTAACGTATCGACCAGTTTCAATTGCTAGTTTGTGGTTGTTTAATCTTAGCTTTGTGATTGCTACTCTGTGATTGATGTTTCTTACATTTGTGAGAAAATTTTCGTAGTCATGGGTAAGTTTAAATTTCCTAAAAGTTCTAAGTTTGTTTTTTTGACGCGGGTCCTTTCGTTCATCATTGTGTATTTCGCTAATCCATGTTTGCTGTTCTATGTCTAAGAGTCTCTGTCATATAGCTCATGGTTGCGGGAGTGTTCGTTTTCGTTGACCATATGTCGCCAAGACCTGCCAGATTTAATAGCCGTTTTAATTTGCTTGGCCAAAGTTCCTTTTTGTATTGACCAATTTGATCTGTAAATGCTATTCCAGAGAGTTTATTTTGGTGCTTCGGCTCACAAAATTTCAGCCAATATTTAAAGGCTCTGCACTTTGTCTTCGTTCGCATTGGGAAACGACCTACCTCCGATCTGCACGCATTTGAGCTACAGAACTTGTTAACTCCCAATAGCCACCTAATGAACTTTTATTGTAAAGAATTATCCTCAGACAAGCCCGTAGCCGGGTTTTTTTTCGGCGAGAGGGCGTTCCAACGAGAAGACAGGCCAAAACGACTGCACGTGTTTCTTGGAGGGGACGGGGCGTTGGGAGAATTAGGTTTTCTGAGAGTACATTACGAACGTTTTGAGGGCCGGCAGCATTAAGAAAAATCGAAACGTAGACAATTGGCAAAATCTTGGACCCTCAAAATGGTTATATGGCAAATAGACTACTTTATGTACGTATTTTGATAATGTCTCAAAAATTGTATTCGTAAATTTGATTTAGGTGTAATGATAGACGACGACAATTGTTCCAATTGCATCCTTTGTAATTCTTAATCTTTTTAAATCAATTATTTCATTATATTGTTAGGTAACTATATTATATTGTTAGGTGTCCCCAATTAGTAGAGGGGTTCTTAACCCCATCGGCTAAACATTCCAAGACACATTAATAAAGTTTTCATGTTATGTTATGTTATAATGTCATCACAATTTAAAAAGTAAAATAAAAAGAAAGTTGACAATCTGATTATTCACGAAGTTTGCTGCTGATGATCTTTCAGTAGTGTTCCAAGTTGGGGGCTTCTTAGCAAACAGATGAACGATGCAGAAAAAAGTATGTTAGACAGTACCCCCGGGGGGGGGGGGGGGGGAAAAACCCCTTATATAAGCCATGTAGGTATGTGCCGTCCCCAAGGATTTCGTTTTTTACCTTTTTGGTCTGAAAACGGGTGTAAATTTTTCTCTGGAATCGACTATGGTTTATGAGGGAACTACGGGAGCGTAATGAACGTACTTACCGTAGACATATTAAATTCTGCAAGCAGAATACTGCAATGCTGATCGTACTACGTGAAAATTAACTCTGTAAGACATCAACACGACACCGAAAGAACTCAAAACAGAGCGGGATTGTAGCTATAGACAGCTGTTTCGCCCCCTTTGGGAATGTCAGTATGGCGTAACAACCAGAGAAAGCTCTGATGAAAAATATCCGCGCACTCTACGAAAAAGAACGAAATAGAAAAATGCGAATTCGAAATGCATTTGAATAAATTTTTTTTCGTTGGTCTAATCTAAGTAACCATGACATAATTTCTGCCTAAAAGCAAGGTCTGAAAACGGGTATGGATTTTAAAGGTCTGGTCTGAAAACGGGTGTCAAAATGACATTTTTGGTCTGAAAGAGGGTCAGGATTTAGAGAAGTGGGCGCCACAATAAGAATTCCTAAGAGTACCCCCGCAGGGATAGTACATATAAGTTATATTTCTCTAGTTATGTGACACTAAACAGATGATATGGGCCACTCCCCCTAGGGCGTCCGTGTCCAATTGCCCAGTAATCTCTAACTTGTAAATTTACCTTCAAGTTTTTTAAATGAAAAAAAACTCGGTTCTCATATAATTCTGCAGCCCGAAAATCTTCACTGATGGCACTTTCAGTTTCTTTTCGAGGCAGTTTTAGAACAAAGTTATTCATGGATTGACAAAATCTGGCAGTGGCCTATCTTCTTGCTTTCTTCGGCCCATTTTTGTGGCGAACTATGTTAAGAACTGCTCAACCGTCGCAAACAATTTAGAACGATTTTGCAATTACATGTACATTATAGGCAAAGTATCACTAATTCACTTTGTTTAAAATCATTGGTCAACAACCCTCCGGAGCCTGTGGGGAGGGTCCAAGTTGATTTGACACACCCCCTCCTCGTAGGGCCTACAGAATTCTCCATAGTTTTTACTTTGATTAACTTAAGACTCATCTTCACAAACATAGGTCATATGGTTTTCATAATGTTGGAGAAGAAGAGCTTCACTACTCATCTCCTCTTGACAAATCCAGCAGCTGTAATTCTCAAAGATGACCAATTGTGCATCTGCATCATCAGCGTTTCCAGTCTGTCTCTGTGTTTGAAGGTTGTTTATAAATCCTATGGCTCTGCTAACATTAACGTTTTTACCTCCCGCTCTCTTCCGCTTGCAAGATTCCAAACGTTTAGAAAGACTTTCGTTTTTCCGGGAACATTTACATGACTCAACCAGGGTGTGAATTCTCTCATGCTTCCTCAGGCTTCCTGCTACTTTGAAACACTTGCCACACTGTTTACATTCATAAGGCTTTTTCCCAGTGTGAACTCTTTCATGACTCCTTAGGTGTTCTGCTTGGCTAAAACGCTTGCCACACTGTTTACATTCATAAGGCTTTTCCCCAGTGTGAATTCTTTCATGACATCTTAGGTGTCCTGCTTGGCTAAAACACTTGCCACACTGTTTATATTCATAAGGCTTTTCCCCAGTGTGAATTCTTTCATGATTCCATAGGTATCCTGTTCAGCTAAAACACTTGCCACACTGTTTACTTTCGTAAGGCTTTTCCCCAGTGTGAACTCTTTCATGAATCCTTAGGTATCCTGCTTGGCTAAAACACTTGCCACACGGTTTACATTCATACGGCGTTTCCCCAGAGTGAACTCTTTCATGACTCCTTAGGTTTCCTGGTAGACTAAAATACTTGCCACACTGTTTACATTCATACGGCTTTTCCCCGGTGTGAATTCTTACATGACATCTTAGGTGTCCTGGTTGGCTAAAATACTTGCCACACTGTTTACATTCATAAGGCTTTTTCCCAGTGTGAATTCTTTCATGACTCCTTAGGTGTCCTGTTCGGCTAAAACACTTGCCATGCTGTTTACATTCATAAGGCTTTTCCCCAGTGTGAACTCTTTCATGAATCTTTAGGCCTCCTGCTTGGCTAAAACACTTGCCACACTGTTTACATTCATATGGCATTTCCCCAGAGTGAACTCTTTCATGACTCCTTAGGTTTCCTGGTAGACTAAAACACTTGCCACTCTGTTTACATTCATAAGGCTTTTCCCCAGTGTGAACTCTTTCATTAATCCTGAGGGTGTCTGCTCGGCTAAAACACTTGGCACACTGTTTACATTTGTAAGACTTTTCTTCAGTGTGAACTCTTTCATGACTCCTTAGGTTTCCTGCTTGCCTAAAACACTTGCCACACTGTTTACATTCATAAGGCTTTTCCCCAGTGTGAACTCTTTCATGAATCCTTAGGGTTCCGGCTTGGCTAAAACACTTGCCACATTGTTTACATTTATAAGGCTTTTTCCCAGTGTGAACTCCTTCATGCTCCCTTAGGTTTTCTGCTAGACTAAAGTACTTGCTGCACTGCAGGCACTTAAAGGACATTGAGTTTGTTCTTCTTTAACGTGTTATAGTTACGGTACCTTTTGGAAGGAAAAAGAAACATTCTCAGGTAAATGCACAATGATATTTTGTTTTGGTGCCCCAACTTTGCAACATGGAGAATCTATCAACAGGGTTAATTTAATCATTTGTTGACTTTGTATTTGGATTTGAGACTTCCTGTGGTTTGTAAAATAACACGCATTTATAAATGGTAATTAAGGCTCAACATGCAGCTTTAATGCAAAAAATAGTGGAACCTGTATTACAATTAATCCCCTATAAACTCCCTGGGGGCTAAGTTTGTTTAAAGCAGAGAGTAAGGATTATTTGACAGGGAGGGTTATTATATTAGTGAAATACACTACCAAAAGCAAAAAATAAAAAAGAAGAGCAAGAAGCAGACTAAAGAAACGGTTGCCTTTCGCCGATCAACAGCATCATTTGGGGTAAAAAAACAGTATTCCGCATGGTAATACACATGATGAAAAAATTGGTGTAAAGCAAAATGTGTGAAAAGCTTAAGAATGGGGTGGAATGTACCAGAGGTATAAAAATAAAAACTTCAGGGAGTAAATTCTGGTTCTGATAAACGTTTTGAGAGTATAACCCTATTCATTGAACAGCTACCACTTCAAATTCAATTTACAAAGGAAAAGAGAACACTGAAAGTGAGCTGCAAGAAATAAGCTGGCTCCAACAAAAATTTGAGCTTACAACCCTATTCTTTGATCAGCTGTTGCTTTAAATGTAAATTATAAAGAAAAATTCAAATTATAGCGGGTTACACAGAAATATGAATCTGCAGTGGAGGCTTGGTCATTAAGGTTTATCATGCAGCTTTAAATGTGGCAATAGAAATCCTCTATAAAGCTCCCTGGGGGCTTACTTTTTAAGCATGTTTAACAGACAGGGAAGATTATTTGATAGGAAGGTTACTTACTTGAGTGAAATGCATTACCAAAAGCAAAGAATAGCGAGAGGAAGACGCAGACTAAAGTAACGGTTCCCTATACTTCCTGTTCTGGAAAAGGAAAAAATAAACATTAAAAAACAGAGGCCAGAAGATGATGTTAATTCTGTACAAAACGAGTGGAATGCAAATTGGAAACACTCAAGCACATGAACTAAGTTGGAGGTTATGCAGTTGAAGATTAAAAACAAATCACAACTTCTAGCACATGAATAAGTTATACCAGATCAGCAGTGATTTTGTTACAAATAGTTATGGTACATTGTACGTCCTGGGACTCATCTTGTAAGAAATCGTGAGTCCCAGTTCAAAACACAATGAGATCTAAGGGATGGTTCATTATTTATGGGAATGACCAGGTCGGGAAAAAACCGAACGGGCCTCGAAGATTTTTCTTTCTGTTGCAACGGGTTTTGTGTTTTTCTCTTGAACAAAGCCTGATCAAGCTTTAAAAAAAATATCAACTTAAGCTAAAACTGTGGTAGAAATGCGACAGTTATTTGGTGAGTCAACACATGGAAACTGTATTGGTATTGAAATACACCCAATAAATTGCGGTACAGGGAGAGAGTAGATGACGCGCCGGTGTTAGAGGATTTCACAACTGCTCTCCCTGCTGACAAAATCAAAGCTGATAAGGAGTAATCTTAAGGAATACCAATCTGCGACTCAGAATAGGAAATCCTGTGTCCCTGGAAGTGCAAACATTAAAAAAAATCTTCAATTCATCAATGCCCATTACAAAATTGGTGAGCTCTTTATGGAGTACTTGTATGGTGACTGCTCTACCGTGCATCATCACTGAACGTTGTTCGTTTTGTTCTAACAAAGGATGGACAACTCCTGTGCCCAGTATTCCCCAGCCTGTGCCAGATCCTGAAAATCCCACCCATTTTAAATCGGTCAATGAGACACCAACTTCCACAGAAAAGGGCAACCTCGAGTGTCAGATGATTTTCAACCATGTGTAAAAATAAAGAAAATGTTTAGTGCAGGCATGTTATCAACAGAAGAAGAGATGCAGCAGTTTTTAGAGAATTTTGCCATGGAGACGCACTTGATCAAGACATATTGCTCATCTAGAAGATCTCAAAAAACAAAGCGGCATTTTAAAGAGAATAAAGGGGCGCGCAGAACAAAAGCGTAAATTGATGTCCAAAACATTTGAAGAATATGCCTGACACCATCTCGTGGAGTCTAGAGATTCACAAAAGTTGCTCATGTTGAGCTCAAAAAATATCTTAAACATTACAAACTCACAAGCAGCGGCTCCAAAGCTGAAAAGATAAGATGAATGTTGTTGCGTGTGCTTTATGGGGAGGATGGTCAACAGGAAGATATAAATGAGGCTACTGACGAAGAAGCAAAGGAAGGTGGAATTGTCAAGTGGGCGCGACTCAGAGCATGACACGACTTTTGGTGAATGGGAATAGCATCGATGAAAGTGATAAGATATGGTTTGTCTTTCAAAGCGATTCAGAGAAAGAGGTCCAAATAATAATTAATAATTAGTCAACAGCCCATGAGGTCAAAGGCCATGAGAGTGAGAGGAATAAAAGTTTTAGTAAAATCCAACTAGTTGCTCAAATGCTTTCACAATGTAGGTTAATAAGAAGGTCCTTAAGAAATCAACGCAGATAATTTTTTAACTAATATGGAAATTGAATTAAACAACAAAGTAAACAAGATTCTTATTGAATTCAACTATTTTCATGAAAATTGTTTAGGTACAAGTCGACTGCTATCCGTGAAGGGCAAGGAGAGACGGCTGTATCCACAGGCAAAGATAATATATATGTGACAACGCTAGACGTCCGTGTTAAGTGTAGAACTGTCAAGGATGGGAATGCATTACCAAGCGAAAATGTTCACATTAAATCCGCACATCGATTCAAAAAAGTCTTATTTGAATATTTTAGTCAATGATGAATTTTTAATATTACACCCGGGAGGGGGGGGGGTTGGCACTTTGGTATTTATTGGGTGGGTATGTGCTGCCCGGGACTCCAAATTGGCACCCCTTTCTAAAAAAAAATTCCCCTAAAATTGATACCCCGTTCTAGAATTCGCCCTAACACTGATACCCCTTTCTAGAAATGGGCCAATTTTTTATACTCTGTTCTAGGGTGCAAAGAGTACAACAGTTTGCTTGCTAACGCATTGAACCGTATTTTTAAAAGCAATCTGTCCTTGAATAATTTTAAATGGCTGCTTACAAAACTGAACCTTTATTCCAATATTTGTAGTCTTGCAACAGGGTTGCCATCACGCAAGACGCCGAACTAAATAAAATGAAATAAAGTTAAAAATAATGACGTGAAAAAATTTTCTACAAAAAATGAAATGGATAAAAATTCCACAGCATCAATCATTATGTAATATCCCGGGGGGAGGGGGTACTCCCATACATTACCTATACGGGTATGTGCCGCCCAACGGGGTCGTGATTTTGAAGCTCCTGATTTAGAACGGTATATAGTGACAGCCCTAACAGTAAATAAAAGCTAACCATACTTCGAGTCAGTGCTTAACGCTAATCACTATAGTCATGTCTTAGCCCTAATCACTATTTTCAGTGCTATATACTGCTGACCATCATTCGGCGTTCTGC